TAGTGAGAAAAAACTAAATTACAAATTCAATTGCTTTAGTGATTCAGAACTATTGTTTTTCTTTTTGAGTCTTTTTAGCAGGTAACTATATTATATAAATTTATTTAATTCATCTAAATTTTCAAATATATTTGCATAAAGTCATAATATACTCTTTTTTATTTAGATGAGGTTATTGAAAGGCAATATGGCATAGTTGCTAAGAGAATGTACTCAGGTAGCTAGGTTTAATCCACACTTCAGTACTTAAAATGCATGCTAGTTTGGCCAAGTTATTTAATGTCTCTGTTCTTTAGTTTTTCCAACTATAAAATAATAATAATAGTAGTGATTCATATAGTTGTTATGGAAATTCAATGAGTTAGTATTTTAAAGTTTTTAGAACAGTGTGTGAAACTTAACAGGTGATATGTAACTATGAAAATTTAAAATGTATCAAAAACCTTGTCATATAATATTTCATTTTTTTCTGAATCATGTTTAATTTCCAATTTTGTTAGTTTGTACTCATGAGTTGTTAAATTTTGTACTCCTGGGTTAGTAATTCTAATTTTTACTTCATTGTTGTTGGTGGTCATTTACAATTTAATTGCATTGTAGACTGACAGTATGATCTTTATGATACCAACCTTAAAGAAGAACTAGAGAATGCCTTATGGCTTAGCAAACATGATTAATATTTAATAGGTTCTGTATGGTTGAAAACAATGAATATTGTTCAATTTGGAATGTAATGTTTAAATATCTCCATTCGATCAATATAATGAATTGTGTATTTCAAATATATAACTTATTGTATTTTCAAATCCACATATATACTTAATTTTTACTCCTTGTTCAAAACATTATTGAAAATAATGATAGTGGGTTTGTGAACTTCTTACTGTAGCTCGGCCCATTTTAAAAAATATTTTTTGATCTAGTGATTAGACACATTCACATTTTAGAATCATCATATCTTCCAGGTGAATTGAATATTTTATCATCATGCAGTGACCTTTACCATGTTATGTTTTTCCTCAAATTAAATGTGTCTAATATTAGGAGGCTAAGGCAGGGGAATTGCCTGAACCCAGGAGGCGGAGGTTGCGGTGAGCCGAGATCGCGCCATTGCACTCCAGCCTGGGTAACAAGAGCGAAACTCCGTCTCAAAAAAAAAAAAAAAAAAAAAAAAAAGTGTCTGATATTAATATAGATATGTCAGCTTCTAATCTTAGTGTCTTTATTTGTTTAGATGGCTCTTGTAGACAATGTGCAGCTGGATTTTGTTTTATTTTTATTGTCTTAGAATTTATGACTTTTAATGGAACCCAATCAATTTGTATTTATGTAAATTACAAATCTTTGGAAGTTTTTTATTGCTTTATTTGTGGTTTCTCTTTGTCCTACTTTTTAATATATATATTTTTATTTATTGCATTCTCTTAAGAGCGCTAAATTTAGTTTTTATCTGGTATTTTTTACTGTTTCATAAACTGCATAACATATGTATATTTCTTTTGGCAATCACCCTAATTTTTTTTGTTTAAATTTTTATGGATACATAAAAGTCAGACATATTTCTGGGGAACATATGTATTTTGATATAAACATACAATGTATAGTAATAAGTCTGGTTAATTGGGAAATCTTTCACTCAAACATTTCTTATTTCTTTTTGTTGAACATTGTAAATTTACTCTTCGACTTATGTTGAAGTATATTTAAAATAAAAGCTAAAGTAAGATAATTAGCTTCTAATCACCACTTCATTATTATACTTATTATTGTTCAATAATTTATATTTTGACATTTTAAATTTTTTGTCAGCCAAATTAATTTCTTATTACTGTTTTATACAAATTTAATTTGTATTTATCCTCTTGTTTACCAACTTATTTTGTTCTCCGCTCATTTCTTCTTGTATTTAGTACTTCTTGGGATCATTGCCATTTGTCCTAAAGTACTGCATTCTTTAGAAAGATCTTTAGGGAACTTATTTTGGGAGTAAATTCTCAGATTTTATTTGAGAAAATGTTCTTTATCCTTGTATTAGAATGTCATTATGTCCAAGTGTACAAATAAGGTTTAGGGGACAGTTATTTTTTCTTAGCACTTTAAAGATATTATTTTATTTAGACTGAGGCAGAGATTTCAGTGAGCCAAGAATGTGCCACTACACTCCAGCCTGGGTGACAGAGCAGCACTCCGTCTCAGAAAAAGAAAAAACAATTTTTTAAATTCTACTTTTTTTTCTAAGTAATTATTCCTGTGTAAGTGATTCTTCCATCCCCCACGTCAGGCTGTTTTTAAGATGTTTTCTTTGTTTTTCTTTAGTGTTATTATAATGAGCAGTTCTGTACAAGTTTCAATCATTTTCTCTTTCTATATTTCCTCTCTTCATTTCCGTTATCTTCTTCTGAGTATTAGACTACCCTTTTGTCTTGTATCATTTAACAACTGTATTTTCCATTTCTCTGATGCATTCCTGTTAATTTCTTCAAATATGTCCTCCAATTCACCAGTTTTCTCTTGTTATTTAGTTATTTAAAATTTATTATTTCATAAATTAATTACATTATACAATTTATTGAACTACGGCATATTGCATATATATAATACAATTTCTAAATAGTTATTTTCAAATTTGTCTGGACTTCTTATAAGCTCTTTTTCCATTCTTATTCTTTCAAATTCCTTCTTTATATATTTAAATATATAAAATTTGCTTATTTTCTATATCTAGTAATTTTAATATTTGAAATCTTTGGGATCTAAATTTAATATATTGTTTTTGTTTCTGTTAAAAACCATAGTTTCTTGTTTTTTTAAATATTTCTGTGGGAGTGGGAGGTTATTATTGTTATATGTGAGCTCAGTTTTGACAGAAATTTATTGTTGGGGATTCTATAATATTTGTATAGGTTGTAATTCTCTAAAGGAAATTTACATATGCTTCTGCCAGTTATCTGTAAGAGCTGTGGACACAGCTTCATTTTAAATTAAATTCTCACATGCAGTTTGAAGGACAATACAGTTTCTGCGGACTTGAAACTCAAGGGTATAGAACACAGTATCTGTGATTATGAGTTCTTAGAAAATACTTCTCCTCCTTCTCCAGCCATAGCCACAAGCCAAGACATAATTTTTCTGCTTCCTCTGTGGTATGATTTTTTTTTTTTTTCTTGCAGATGACTGATGGACAATGTAGCTCTTTGGGATCCTATACAGATGGTCCCCGACTTACAGTGGTTAGACTTATGATTTTTCAATGTTAGTTTTTTTTTTCTTTCTTTCTTTCTTTTTTTTTTTTTTAAGATGGGGTTTCACCATGTTGGTGAGGCTGATCTTGAACTCCCGACCTCAGGTGATCCGCCTGCCTTGGCCTCCAAAGTGCTTGGATTACAGGCGGATGTGTGAAAGCAATAAACATGCAATAGACACTGTATTTTAAGTACCCATACAACCATTCTGTTTTTCCCTTTCAGTATAGCATTCAATAAATTACATAAGATATTCAATACTTTATTATAAAGTAGGCTTTGTATTATCTGATTTTGTCCAACTGTAATCTAATGTAAGTGTTCGGAACAAATTTAAAGTAGGCTAACCTAAGCTGTTATGTTCAGCAGATTAAGTGTATTCAATGCATTTCCAGCTTAATATATTTTCAACTTATGATACGTTTATTGTGATGTCAACCCCATTTTAAGTCAAGAAGCATCTGTATATTTTTAGGAGCTCTTAGTTTTAATTAGCCATCTTTTGGAGGCCCAATGTCTTGTTTTAAATGCTCTGACCAGACACTACATTTCCAGATGTGGCCAATGTCCCTAGAGCAGGTGTCAGCTTCAGCATTTGTTTATCACTATAGATTTCTGTTCTCACAATTGTTTTACCTTCAGAAAGTTCTACTATCTCTTTGAAAGTTTAGCTATTTTTAACAGTATACTCTATACTGAATTCTAGGCAAAATGCAAGACACTTCTTTAGCGTATTGCTGGAAACCACAGAAGAGATTTTTGTATTAAAAATAGTTTTATCTTCACATTTAACTTTCAGATATGTGCACTCTTAATCTCAGTTCATTTCTCTGTAAAATTGATGAGTTCATGTCCTTTGTAGGGACATGGATGAAACCAGAAACCGTTATTCTCAGCAAACTGACACAAGAACAGAAAACCAAACATTGCATGTTCTCACACATAAAGTGGGTGTTGAACAATGAGAACACATAGACACAGGAAGAGGAACATCACACACCAGGGTCTCGGGAGTTGGGGGATAGGGGAGGAATAGCAGGGGGTGGGAGAATTGGGGAGGTATAGAATTAGGAGACATACCTAATGTAGATGACAGAGCAATGGATGTAGCAAACCACCAACATGGCATGTGTATACCTATGTAACAAACCTGCACAATCTGCACATGTAGCCCAGAACTTAAAGTATAATGAAAAAATTTAAAAAATAAAATAACATTGACCACACATCAATTATTTTATTTAATAATCAGGTGTGCACAAGAATTAACATAATTAATGCATAGCATGATGAGTTTTATAATACAAACATGTTTAGAGTTCTTTGAGAGCATTGGGAAAGGTATTATTCAGGTAGCTTTCAAGGAAGGTTTTCAAGAGTTGACATAAGCTGAATGAGACCTAAAAGATGAGGAGTTTAAAGACAGCACAGGGCGTTCTGGACAAAAGAAATTGCAAAACCATAGGCCAGAGAGGCATGAGAAATGGGATATATTTAAGGAACTGCAATATATTCTGTCTCTGGACCATCGCATAAATATGAAGGACTAGTCAGAGAAGACACTGGAGAGGTAGAAAAGGACATCAGATCTTATAGTACAGGTTCTTGCTAAAGACTTTGGACTTCACTGTGGAGAGTCTCTGAAAGCTTGTAAACAAGGCAGTAACAATAGAAAATAAATACGTATTAGAGGATTAACATTTAGCAAGTTTCTGAGGATGGATACAAACTATATAATTTTCTTTTTCTAATAAATAGGACCTCAGGCTCAGGCTACAGACCCGGGTATATTTTCTTCTCCTGTTAACACAAATATGTAAGTATCTAAGGAATTATATGTAATCATAAATAAAAATTTTAATAATTATGTAAGAGTGCTGCTCATAAGCAAATGATTACATGGAATCCTCAATTTTTGTAGTTCTACTTGGATTTAGTGAAACTTAGTCTTTTGCAGACTTTCAGCACTAAGCTTAAGTTGTAGACAAAAGGAATCTTTGTCCTTCCCTTTCTTTATCTCCATATCTCCACTATGGTTCTATAATCCACCTATAGTCAGGGTCTCCACGCCACTTTCAAGTGTATCTGCATCATAGCTTTATTCAGGTAATTTCTCATAATCTGTATTTATTTCTTTGCCTTTCTTTTCTTTGAAATAGCTACCATTCCTTATGCTTTTTGAGACTATTGGCTTTCTAATACTGGCAATATAGTTTACTCTGTAGTATTAATGACTTAATCAGTTATCCCCCACTGTAAAGGGTATTTTGCAGATTAACACAAAATAATAATCTCTAATAGTAGAAATTACGGCACGTAGAAGAGATATTTGTTAAGCCCACAGACTTTTCACTCCTCAAACCTTAGTGACCACCTATTTTGTTGATGTTTATATCTGCTTTTCTCAACTCAAGAAAAGAGAGAGAGGAAAATATGAATCTACATAATAGCAATGAGTTATTTTACACCCATGCCACAATCTTTTAAAAAAATCAGCAAGACAATTGAAGTCTAGGAAAGACGTTACAAACCACAAATTCCCATGAAGATGATTGAGTAAAATAAGTTGTGAGTGATGGCAAATGATATTGACATGTTCAGACCAGCCTTCTTGAAATAATAATTTTTACCTTAAGACAGATAAATACCAGTTTGTTTGACTTACTGAATATTCATATGATACCTAACACAGTAAGAGATGCAGAAGGAAGGAAACTGACTTGTCTAGTTCAAAGCAATAAAACTTGATGACCGTATGTAGACCACATGTAAAATAACATTGCTTATTTTGTTTATTGGATGCATACATTTTTATTTCTTGGAAATATAAATACATAGCTTTTTAAAGAAAAGGTTATAAGAGGCTCATAATATAGTTGTAAAAAGTGCATTTTTATCTTCTCAAACCCAAGAATGTAGAACTACAAAAATCACTTGAATATTTCATAGCAGGCATTTTCAATATTCTTTCCTTATAAATCTTAGCTTGGTGAAAAATAAAAAACTCTTTATCTTACCTGGAGCTTCTTCACCATTTCTCCAAAAGCATACACAGAGATCCAAATAAAGGGCAAAGACACATATGTCACATTCCTCTTGTTCAGGTTTAACTCCAAGTTTTATAGGAGTTTGCTGTGGAAGTCTCACATCTATTCTATCATTTCTTTCTCTTCTCTCACTTTTTGCTTAGTTTTCTTGTTTCTGTTCAGTTGTTTAATGTTACAAAAGATTTATAAAATGGAGATAAAAATTCAGTACCAAAGGAATGAAAATAAAGCAAATATAACAGCAGTGGGAGTAAAGTTGCAATAATTCAGCATTGCACTTAGGTGATGAATAAGTGTGTATTACAAGGAAGGTATAAGGAGTAACAGAATGAAGAAAGCAATAAATCTATTATCCTGAAGACTGTGGTGAAAGCTTGTAGTTTATTTATTGGATAATAGTCTGATGGTTTTTAGTGCAGGTATAATGGTCAAATTAGCATATATAATGAGTAACTTTGACAATGATATATAGGAAAGATTGAAAGAAAGAAACTCAGAACCAGTTATCAAAGTCCATTAGTGGCCTGCACAAAGGCTTCATTTGGCATTAGAGAGAAGTAGGCACAGATCCAAAAGACTTTAAATAGGGATTTTTTTATCAAACATTTATTGAGAACCTACTATGTTCAAACTATAATGCCAGATCTTAGGCAGGTACCAAGATAAAACTATGTTTCTATGATTTCAGGGTATTATTTTTGAAGGATATTATGAAGCTGAAGAGAGGGGATAAAAATAAGACAAATTAAAACACCAAAACCTGTTGCTATTACCTAGGCTCACTGTTTTTCCTAAATAAGCGCTCTCTGGAATGCTGCAAGTTTTTGATTAATTTTCTAGAGTTCCAGAAACTATAATTCTGGTCATTTTTCTTTTGCCAGTTTACTCATTATTTTTTTGGAGGAATGAATATCTGAGATACGTACTCTGCTATTTCTGCTGATGCCATGCTTTATCATTTTTGTCATCAATAAAGCTTTTTCAGTTTTCAGATTAAATTTACATGTAGGCCTTTGTACTTTGGTTCTGTGTTGCATGCTTTTGGAGCAGAAAGTCTATTGGGAACTGGTATCAATGAATACATAGAACTCCTTGAGTTATGTTTTATGCCAATGATATAACATGAAGAAAACAGAAAAATGAATCTGAAGGCATTAGGTTGCAGAATATCTAAGAGAAAAACCTGTGGAAACTTGAGTTGACCTAAGAAACCAGATCCTAGAAAAACAAATGAGGGCAAATGATAGAGAACATATCACTGACATCAGCTTCCATGCTCCCAGTTGCATACTGCAAAAAGGTACTAGTCTAAGGATAGACTGTTGTCACGAAATCCATTTTATGAACTGAACCCAGTGAAGTTTTTTTTTCCTGCCAAATTATAGGATGTAGTTTTCAGTCTGGCTATTTCTTAAAATTGAATCATAAACCTTGGGGGAAATGTAAATTTAATCATGTGGAGTACAGGCCTAAAAGGAGTGTACTTAAAAAAGTAGAAAGAAAAAAGAAACAGTTCAAATCAGCAAAAATATATGAAAATAAATCAGACTTCAGTTTTAGATCTTGTTTTAATAAATATTTATTTTATTTTCTATTATTTTTATGATTGAGCTATTCTTTTTTGCAATTCAGAAAACTTTTTATTTCATTAGTGTGTGATGGTAAATGTAATAACACATGATAGAATATTGTCATACATAGTAAAGGAATGCATCTAAATTGGTATTAAACATAGCTAGAAATCCATGATTTTAACCCATAGTTATTGAATAATCATTCACTATTTTCTTCCTACTATGGAATATGGGGAGTGAACGGTAGAACTATGGCATTTGAAAGAGCAAATAAATGACTATCAGAAAGTTCTGGTCAGATGCCTTGCTGCTCTATCAGACCTTTTAACAGTCAGAAGGAACTCATCTGCCCCTCCCTGCAAATCCTATATCCTTTTTCAGAGAAACCAAAGTGGGCATGGCTAAGGTGTGTTAGAAGGACAAAGATCAGAGAGGTACATTGTTTATGCTGCAGCTATAAGTCTGTTCCCATGAATAATAAAGTACATTTCTAAAACTAGAGGCCAATCTAAGGAGAAAGTAAAATAGGAGGATTGGAAAAAAGGGTATATTCTTCATTTTGAATTTCTATAGAAAAACTCTTAGATACAACAAAATGATTCAATGATTAGAAATTTTAGAAAAAAGTTTTATAAATTCTTGACTCCATAATAAACAAATGATCAACCTTTCTCTACAGGCAACAGAACTCACTGCAAAATTGCTTGCAAGAAAAAGTATGTATCGTAAAATCCACTGATAAAGTAACATATGAGTCATACTTTCTGATACATCATAATAGAATACATTTTGTTAACTAGAAAACTAGGAGTCATCCATTGATATTTGTTGGTCTTCTTCTTTGTCCTTTTTTCTTCTTTGAAGTTCCTTTTCAGTTAATTCTTATACTTTCCTGTGGTCCAAAGTTGTTATCAAAAATAATATTAGCCCTTCAAGATGAGGTCTCATGGGTATAGAATGGTGAAATATTAAAGGACCTAGCCTTCACAGGAAGAGAATCAAATACCACAAGCCTATTCTATCATGGGAAGCTATATTGATATGCCCTTGCAGATCTTGTTAGTGAACTCAGTAGTAGATAAGTTGAGATGCTTGGATCTGTCTTTAGCAGTTTTGTGAAAAGGGACCTCATCACCTATGAGCTAAGACTTGGAACAGGCAAAGATAAGGTAGTATATTTTTATGAGACCGAATTTGGATCTAGACTGAACACTCAGGAAAGAGAAAGCATTTGAGGAACAGTACATATTCTGGCACACTATTTAACATGGACACTTGCCCCATTCACAGAATATGCAGCAAATATGAAAGCTTTGACCCAAGGGAATATTTTTCAGTTTAGTGTTGTAATAGAAAGAAAGTGAAAACTGGATTTCATCTATCATATTTCATTACAAAGAAAACTTTAGAAATAGATGCCTCTTTTATATATTGAAGTTGGAATCACTTTGCCACAACTAGCCTAAGAGTAATAATGTAGGTTATTGTTTATCATCTCTCGTAATAAGAAAAATAACATAATATTGAATGTCTTAGTTTATAATTTATATGTGTTGCAGTTGATTTAGAATAATTATCTTCTCTGTAAACATTTAGATTTTATTCTTAAATATTTGATTTAGAGTGTATTTAAGACAAGTATTTTATAACAGACTGTCATCTCAAAATATGTGTCATAACCACTAACCCATTGCTTATACAATAAGTAAAAAATATTGGGGGTATATTTGGGGATTACAGCTGAATAAAGTGGCCTTTCCACAGGTGTTCCTCAAATGCTTTGAAATGAGCCATGAGGGAGTGTGGCATATATATGTTAACTTTTCTTTGAATATTTCTCTGAAATATGAATAATTTTGGACTAATTTAGGCAATATTTTGGGTGTGAGCAGCCTAGTTACAGGAATCTTATTTACACGAAGACCTACATATCAGCCTTCTAAGCTTTGCTGTCAAATACTTGTGTTTACAGCCTGTATGCTTTAAGAGTTTTAACAATTTAAAAACAGAGTACTACTTTATTATAAGTAAGATGAGTTTTGTAAGCACAAAATACATTTGCGGTTGGTAAGCAGAGGTTTATAGAACTCTACAGATGCATTTGTTTCTATCCATGGTCCAGTACAAATCTATGACAGCATCATTGGTCACTAAGGAAATGGTTATTCAAATCTGGTTCTTAGTTCCAGCTCAGTAATAGTCTAACTTTCTTAATCTTGCTCAGCCCTCCCTACTCTTTGATTCCCAAATCTAGTTTGGCTTTTATGTTGTATCTAAAGTAATGTATTCCCTTACTTTATTATCTGTTCTCAGCTTTCCTATCTAAGGCAATTTGTATTTACACTTGTTTGTTGAGTAAAAAGCCCATCAATCTATATAAAGCATGAACTTTTATTTTTGCCTATCAAATAATTCTTAATAATTAACTTTAGTCATTTCTATATATATATAGACTGCAGGCTCACCCTTTCAGCAGGGCCTGGAAGAGAGAATGATTTGTGTTCCTTCCCCATATCTCAGTTAGACAGATGCTTCTGAAAGCAACCAAATATTTTGGCTGCATCTGTTTTGAGAAATATTTTATTACAAATATTTAATGATCTTAAAAATTAGCTATATCATAAAGATTATATATTTTCTTTCCAAAATATTTGCATGCTGTGTGCCTATACAACAATTTGGTAATTTTTTTAAACAAAAAATCATTTATCCTGATAATAAATGCCAAGGGAAAAAGAAACTTTTGAGAGACTGTGAATAAAATAAATCTTAAACACTCACAAAAAAAATACTTCAGTGTAGTACAGAATAAACAAACTAGAAATTCATCTGAAATTCTAAATTTCTAGTCTGTTTTTTTTTACTATTTTCTTTCATAAACCATATTGGTATTCCACCTATACATTGCTTGATATAAAAATTCGATGTTACCTGCTATCTCCAAAACATAGAGTAGGTTGTTACATGACTTTGTTTTCATCCCTGCTTACTTCATTTCTAGGTGACTTCTGAAGAACTGAATATTATAATTCAGAATATAATGACCTGGGTTGTGGCTACAGTGACTAGTATATTGTATCCAGCCATCACAAAGTATGAAGAAAGATTGAGAGATAATACATACCCAGCATCTGATAACTCCATCCTCTCTTCAGATAGTTCAAGTTTCTGCAGCACATGCAGTGAAGACTTTACATATAGAACCTACACATCTTCAACAACTAAAACATTTCAGGCAGAACCCTGTGCATTTGCAGTTGACCTGTCAGTAAGGAGACCAACCACACCGATAAAACTTTCTCCTGCACATAAGGGAAGAACTGCTGTGGGGAAAACCTATCATGCAAAAGGACAATCTATAACCTCTACACTTAAATATAATAAAAGCAACGTGCTATGTTCATACGCTAAGCTCAGAAGTTGTAAATCAGATAGTCATCTTTTAGCATCATTTGAAACAAGCACAACGAAGTCTAAGGATGCCACTACTGAAACAGATAGCCTAGGGAGTTCATTGATTTGTGATAAAAAAGCAAAAGCCATAGATGAAATGAAGAATTTAAAAAATGTGTTTGTTAACTTTAAATGTCACTTGAAAGGGGAAACTAAAGTGATTTTAGAAAGCATTTTTCGTGAAATAATGTCTGATTTAACCCAGGCCATTCCCTGTCTCTCTTCTGTTACTGCTGAAGTTTTTGTTGAACAATGTGAATGTGAAAAAGAAGATTTGCCCTCCAATGTTGATATTTGCTCACTTGCTTCTGAGATTGTGGAAAATATGCTTGAGAAGTTAGAGTCTGCAGTGGAGAAAAAATGTGTTGAGATGTTTTCACAAGAAGATGTACCAGTCAACATTAAACCAAGCTTAACAGCCAGTGATGAACATCTCCCATCATCAAATAAAAAACCTTTGATGGAGTCAATGCCTCATACTTTGGACCCGATGTATGATATTGCAGAGGACATGGTGCATGCCATTTTAGAAAAGCTGATGTCTCTTACTTCTTCTAAGCAAAAAGAATTTCTTCATCTTAAAGATTCGACTAAGCTTTCCTGCCAGCAACATAAGACAGACCCAGTATGTATGTTCCTTCAGAGAGCTAGCAAAAATAAATCTAGTCTTGAATCTGACACAGCTAGTTTAATTGTCAATGAAGAAATACAAAATTTACTATCAAATATTTTTTCTCAATCCTCTTTGGTTGGTTATATAGAGGAAGCAATTAGTGCTATACTAGGTTATATACAAACTGAACTAAATAATGAGAGAATTATTGCATCTGAAGAAACAGTAGTACTCCTTCAGCTACTTGATGATATCCTTGTTCAGCTCCGTCAGGAACCAGCAAAGGAAAATTTTCCAAAAAGTAGACAATCTAGAATAAGTAGTCCTTCTGACACCAAAGAAAAGTACAGACTCGCTGGCACTAGATTATCTAATAGTCCTAGGTCTAGAAGACCATTTCTACCTATAAATGTTCCAGGCATGGTTCTTTATTCTGAAGATGAGGAGACAGACAATATTGTAAAAAATGTGCTTGATTCAACTTTCAAAGATGAAAAAGTAAAATCACAAGAACAGATTCCTAATGATTCATTTACAAAGGGAAACACTTGTTTTGAGTACAAAAGAAATATCAAACCACCTACAAAGCCTGTTTCTAGAAGCCAAGTTGCATTTCCTGATTGGGAATTAAAGACTGAGCCACCATCTCTTAATCATAAAGATACTTTAAAGAAAAAACTTTGTTTGAATAAAGTTATTTCAACCTTCAGCCAAGACCAAAAGCATCAAATACAAAAGGCTTCAGAAAACATAGTCACAAGTGTTTTAAAAGAAATGCTCAAGGACATATCTTCTGTTCCTCCTGGTCACTTAGACAGAAAAACTGGCAATGAAGCTTCAGTTCTTGTTTCACAAAAGCCTCAGGGACTGTCACATCAAGAATGGATAGACCAGCTGTTTTCTGTTTCAGAAATCAATACAGTGGCTCAAGAAATAACAGATTCTGTGCTAAACATACTTCATAAGGCACAGAACTACATTTCCAATACCACTAGAAGTTGCATTTCATCCTCAGTTCATCAGACTTCCTTAGATAGTTCTGACACTGCAGACAGAGTCAAAGAAGCACCACATAAATGTTCATTAAAAACATGGTTTGACAGTGAAAAGAAAATGCAATCTTTATCTTCATTCAATATTGATTCTGAAAAGCCTTCCTGGTTAAAATCTGGAGAAAGTGAACTTAAACCTGTAGATGACATTAATGATAAGATCATTCATATAATTTTTAAAAGACTGAAGTCATTTATTTGTCCAAAATTGCATATGGGCTTCAAATCTTCACTACAATCTCAACTTAGTAAGTACACAGCTAAAATAGTGAACATTGTTTTATGTGCTATCCAGAATGAACTGGAACTCCGTAAGAAAAACCTAAATCTTATGGAGATGGACCATACCAAATCCCTTATAGCTAACACTAATAAAAAATTAGAATCTCTTGTCACAAGTATTGATGATGACATTTTGGCAAGTCCATTATTAACATGCATTTATGATATGTTATCCAGCAAAAATGCAGATCAAAGAAACATTCCACTTTCTTCATGTATGCCAAAGTCTGCAGATGACAGTGTTGATGAACAAAGCATTTTGCCAAATAGGCAGGATAAAAAATCTTTTCACAAATATATGGCTACTCCTTGTGCCCTCCACAGTGTCAATGATGAAAAAGATATTCAAAATAATGCAAAATTGGAAGTGTTAGATAGAATTGGGGAAACACTACATGAAATGTTAAGCAAGCTCCTGGGAAGCCAAGAGACTACCAATAAGAATCAGAAAATGGCTGCTGCATTGCAGTCTAATATTCAGTTAGTTTCCAAAGCAATTTTTGATTATATCCTTGCAAAATTATCTGGAGTTGACATGGATGCCAGTTTTGCAAGTTGTGGATTAAAAGCCATCTCAGAGTCTCTTGACATTAACAACCCATCATTTGCTTCAATTACTGAGAAAATGGCTAAATCCACCAAAATAATCTCCAGCATAGTTTCCAGAATTGTTCAGGAGGGCAATAAAGAGGGGACTCAAAGCAAAGCAAAACCTGTTGCTCCTGTGTCTTCCAAAGCAGAGAGCACAAAAGAAATGCATCCAAATAAACTGAAAACTGTAGCTTCAGACATTCTTAATATGGTTTTTGCTAAACTGAAAAGGTTTACCAATGGATATTTAGAAATTCTGGATGCTATTAATGATGAAAATAAGGAAAGCAGTAAGATGGGCTGGGAATGTGAAAACACCAATATTTCCAGAGACACACATGAAGAATCATTTCTGTCTGCTTTATACACGCCGGCAAAGAAGGTATCAAGTGCTATCTTGAAGGCTATTCAAACAGAATTAAATGTGACCTCATCAGACTTGAAGACAAGTGTAAAAACCCCACCACCTGAGACTCAGGTTCTTACAGATATAGTCAAATTAATTTTAGATACAGTCTCTTCAGATATGTTTAATGAAACTGAATCTGAAGAGGGAGGCATTGAAACTTATCGATACAGGCCAACATATGGAAGTCTTCCTGGAGGAGCTGAATCAGATTCATTTCTAGAAGATGATGCATATACAGAGAAAAAAATTATTGATGATAGATCACTACAAAGAGAAGAAATGAAAACACATTCTCTTAAACAATGGGCTCTAGAAAAAACTTTAAACAAAATTGAAGTAAAACTCAAAGAACCAAATATATCTCCAGTTGCTCCGATCATAAGAAATATTTTGAATGAAATTTTTCAAAGTACTTTAATCAATCAATTAAATGTGCTTTTTCTCTCCCACTCTCATTTTAATGACATGCCTCACAATGTTGATGAGCCAATTGCCCAAACACCTGTTCAATGTATGGATAAAATGATGAATCCTTTAATTTCTGAAGCAGATATAACCACAGTAACAGAAAATATTGTTAAAACTGTATTTCACAAACTTTATTCAGCTGCCATGACAGAAAGAAATGTAAGGAAAAATAGGTATAAAACTATCACTTTTTCAGCAAATGTTTCTTTTCATGAACACACCTATGAAGGAAAGTCCTCTGTCACTGTCTTGGATAAAAATCCATGTACTTTTCAGTCTAGATTCAGTGTTGCTGACAAAGAGGCAAAGGTAAATGTAGTTGAAGATATTGTACAGGCAATATTAACAAATTTGGAAACGTTTGCTACTTCCAAAGTAAAATCTCTCTTTTGTTCCCAAGTCAACTTTACAGTTCCAATGGCCTTACCTATTCAACAAGATCAGAGTACATTGAGCAAAGCATTATCAGCCAAAGATCCATATTCTGATGAGCAATTTTCCTATTGCTCAGTAGATCATACTAAGTCAGGAGAGACCAACTTGTGCCAACTGTCTTTGTCTAAATTAAACATTTATGCACGACAAGTGGCTAGCAAAAATTTACAAGAAATTAAACATGAATTAGATAAAGAAAAGGATAATCATTTCTTAACTCACAACATCGGGATTTCTAAAAATTTTGCAAGTCAAATCGTTAACACAGTGTTAGACATTATATCATGTAAAGGCAAGTGTAACAAAAACAGTTCTGATAAAGAGATTGCTTTGGATCAGCAAAAAGGTGTTATTGAAAAGCTGCTCAATAAAACCGAATATCAAAAAGTACTTCAGTTTCAAATACAAGACACAATTGAAGGTATCTTATGTGATATTTATGAGAAAACTCTATATCAGAATAATCTGTCATTTGCCACTCCCACTCTGAAATGTAGCATAGCTGATAAATATTCAAAAGAAAGTTCTGAAATGTTCATGGAGGGTGCAAATAAGTTTATTCCTAAGCTTTCAGTTCCTAAATCAGATGTCATTTTGATATCCAATGATATAGTGAATACTGTTCTTCATAATCTCAGTTCAGCTGTCATGCTTATCATAAATGCAAAGAATCCTACTTCTGCAACATTGTCCCTGACCTTTTCTGATATGTTTCCAAAAATAGACTGTCAACAGCCTCTTAGGGGGTCAAAAACTGAAAGAAAAACAGAGTGTTTTTCGTATTCAAGAAATCAGAAATCAGCTTATGCTGATGATAATCATTTAACTGTAGTAGAGAAAGAAGACATCCAGAAAATTGCTGCTGATTCATGTGAAGAAAATGCTAACTCCATTACTAAAACTATTTTTAATCATTTAGAATCTTTTGCCACAAAAAGAATTGATTCATTAATTACCCTTGCTTTCCAACATAAAGAAAAGTCATTTGTTATCCCAGAATTGGAAAATTGTAAACAAAATGACAGCATCTTTTATGATTCAAGCCAAGTGGAATCAGATGTGAATGTCCTGCAAATACCAGCAACTGAAACCATTCTCAGCCAAGAGCTCACGGATTTCACTTTTGCCAGTCACAGAGAAAAACTTGGATCCATAATTCACCTATCACAAGCTAGCCTTAAGACATATGCTGACATCATTGCCAGTGCCATTTTGAAGCTTATTAAAAATGATTTAGACTTAGAAATTCAAAAGATACATCCATATTCAAACAATATTTTGTTCCAAGGAAACATCATTGTGAGTGCAATTGTTGACAGTATGTTAAAGATGTTAGATGATAAAAGATCTGCAAAGGAAATTGGTTTCAATTCAAAAGAGAATCCTAACTTTTCACAGTTAACTTTATCAAATGAAATATTGCTGGGGCACAAAGAGAAGCAAATAAATACTAAACAATTTCTGTTTAGAAAGTGTCCATTAGAACAAAACCAACTGATATTGGAAAACAAAAGCCAGATAATTGTTTTGGAAGAAATATTTATGAGAAATGGAGAATCAAAACACAAAGAAAAAGTTGAACTGCTCAGTGCAGTGGAAGAATTGTTGAATAAGTTATATCAAAGAATAAGGGAAGTCATAGGCCATTTGCCTCCATTTAATGAAACTTCCAACTTTATATCTAATTCTAAAATTAAAACACGAGGCACAACACAGAAAAACAGTTTTCAATCATATATTAACAGTGTAGCAAATGACATAGTTGAAAGTGTTTTGGGGAAAATGTACTTGGTAGTTGTGACATCATTGTATGAAAATAATAAAAGTAGGAGAGAAGTTGAAACATCTGACTGCAATGATTCCTTACCAATGAAACCGTTAAGGTTTAGAGAAACTAAACAAGCAGGAAAAATAAATAGTTCCCCTAAATATGTGATACCACAGGCTTATTCTTATGCAGGCAATCAAAATATCTCTGTAATGGAAAGCACATTTTTGCCATATTTACCATTGCAAGTGAAGAACGACTTAATTCAAATGGTTCTCAATAAGATTACAAACTTTGTCTCACTTCATCTAGAAGAGAGTTTGTCCCCTGAACATTGTGCTGATAAGTTGCAACTTTTAAGGCCACACACTTTTAAGGTCAACCCTAAGGACAGCCCTAAGCCATGCTTTAAAGCAAATTTAAAATCAAGATCAAAACTTACCACTTTGCCTAAATTTACAAAAAAACCACACTTAGGACTGAGTGCTGTTAAGGCCAAAAGCAAAACCAAGTTAGGTCCTAGGGAGAAGACCCCAAAAGACAGCCAATCCAAAACTGCCATTGGGTTGTCACACATCATGTCAACTGGAGATGCCAAAAACTTACTGGACACAAAATTGCCCACTTCAGAACTAAAAATATATGCCAAATATATAATAATTAATATCCTGGAAACAATTGTAAAGGAATTTGAAAAGGTAAAGCAAACCAAAGCCTTACCATGTGATCAAATCATAGCAGCAGGTAAAATAGTTAATACAGTTTTGCAAGAATTATATGTTACAAATAACTGCAGTTTGGCTTATCCAATCAAATCCTCACATCTCAAACTTTCACAGGGGAATATAAGCACAGGATCCCATGCTAAACAAGCATGTTTTTACTTGGAGAATATTTCTTCACAGCTAGAACACATTTTTCCTAGAAAAGGTATATTTAAAAAATTGTTTGACAAGTGGCAAACAGAATCAAATGACAAGGAAAATGAAAAATGTAAGCTACTGATGATAGCTGAAAATGTTTTGACTGAAATTTCAGTAAAAGCTAAAGGATTAGTATATTCTCTTTCACTTTTAAATTTGCCGCCTCTTGAGAATTGTGAAAGCAGGCTTTATCATCATCTTAAAGGAGCTTCTACTAGAGCTGAGGATAGCAAAGCACAAATTAATATGTTTGGAAGAGAAATTGTTGAAATGCTATTTGAAAAATTACAGCTATGCTTTCTGTCCCAAATTCCCACTCCAGATAGTAAAGAGACTCTATCAAACAGTAAAGAATACATTACTGCTAAAAGTAAATATGGTTTTTCAAACAAGCATAGCCTCAGCAGTTTACCAATCTATAACACAAAGACAAAAGACCAAATTTCTATGGGCTCTAGCAACCACATTGTTCACGAGATTGTAGAAAGGGTTTTAAACATGTTAGAGTCATTTGTAGACTTGCAGTTTAAACCTATCTCCAAATATGAGTTTTCTGAAATTGTGAAAATGCCTATAGAAAATCTTCTTTCTACCCAACAGAAACTATTAAACAAAGAAATGTTGCCAAAATTACAACCACTTAAAGTGTTTCCTGATGAATCCAAGTCAAATACTATTATTTTTAAGGAAAACATACAGGATATCCTTCTACGGGTTCATTCATTCCATTCAAAATTACTGACATATGCTGTTAATATCATCAGTGACATGCTTGGTGTAATTAAGAACAAGCTAGATAATGAAATAAGCCAAATGGAACCATCTTCAATTAGCATATTGAAAGAGAACATTGTAGCAAGTGAGATCATTGGCACACTAATACACCAGTGTACTTACTTCAATGAGTCTTTGAAACAAAACCCTTCAAAGGAAAGTTTATTCCATGGAGCTGAAAATGCCTATGTTGTTAATCAGCTTGAATTAGCAACTAAAATGAAAACATTCACCTCAAATTTTGAGTTAAAGGAAGGTAGTTTGGGGATTAATCCTTCACTAGTGAGTATAACTGACCTTATGTTTTGTTCAGATGAAGATGTGAAAGAAAAGTACAGGGTTTTATCAAATTTACCCACCTCTGTCAGACCCTCTGTAGAAGACACATTTAAAAGCTCAGAGCCAATGAAAAGGCCTGATTCAGAAACTATGCCATCGTGTTCTAGAAACAAAGTACAAGACCACAGCCCAAGGAAATCCAACTTTGGTCATTTTGATGAGATCATGCAAGAAAATCACAGCCTCCCTGAAGGCAGTATCTCACAAAAGCTGTTTAGGAAAGCAAGCAGCTCCACAGAAGCATCATTAAAGCAAGTCTTTTCATTCATAGAAATGGGAAAAGGTGAAAGTCTAAGAGCGTTTCATTATGATACCCTAAAACCAGGTGTTGAACCAAATCAAATTCAGGCAACTGTTTCTCCACTCAAAATATGTTTAGCTGCAGAAAATATTGTCAGTACTGTGCTATCCAGCTGTGGCTTTCCAAGTCACCCACACACTAATGAGAATGTGGAAATAATGAAGCCATTTTTCATATCAAAACAAAGCTCTTTATCTGAAGTATCTGGAGGACAAAAAAGTAAGGAAAAAAGTGTTCTTAGAATGCAGGATGAAATAATCAGCTATATACCTGAAGAAGAAAACAAAAACCTTGAAGCCAGCAGGGAAGAGTCTTCTTTCCTGCAAAAATTGAAAAAAAAGAATTACCCAAACATAGAGACTCTGAAAGAAGTTGAAGCCTTTACTTTTGCAGATCATGAATTGGGTCCCAATGAAGTTCATCTGATAGCAAGACATGTCACTACATCTGTGGTCACATATTTGAAGAACTTTGAAACTAGAGGTAAGCAAGAAAGAACTTACACTAAAAGTTGTCATGATTTAGAAAGAAAACCAATAAAAGATATGTTTAAAAGATTTCCTGTCTAAAAAGCTGTAGTCACCATTTTTATGAAAATGGTCTTGGAGATAAGTGACTACTGAGTTGCATTTTAATTTTATTTTAAGTGTTATTTTATTTAGAAATAGTGTGTCTGTCACTGTGGCATGATCATTGCTCCCTGCGGCCTTGAACTCCTGGACTGAAGAGATCATCTCAGTCTTCCCGCAAAACAGCTGGGACCACAGAGCATGCCACTGAACTCTAAGTTTTAAAAATATTTTTGTAGAGACAGGGTATTGCTATACTGCACAGGCCAGTCTCAAACTCCTGGCCTCAAGTGATCCTTCTTTTCCAGCCCCTCAAAGTGTTGGGATTACAGGTGTGAGTTATCATGCTCGGCCTCAAGTGCTTTTTAATGTATCACAATGCAAATAAATAAATAATTAAATGTTTGCGGGGTTTGAATTTGAAGGATGTGTTGCTCAGTTTTCTCTATCTGCAAATGAGAGAAAATGAGACAATTTTAAAGCAGGAGATTTTGGCTGAGCATGAGATAAAACTTTGGAAGAGTTTTAAAAATTCTTGCACAAAACTTCTTTATAATCATATGGCAAGTACAGTTAACTGATTGAAAGTCATTTCATTTCTTTTCAAGGGGTATGATTGAAGGCTTTGCTACTGTTATTCATAATTTAAAAGAACAGTAGAATTAAATATCTTGTTTTGTTTGCATTCCAGTATTCCAACTTAAATTCCTTTCAGATATAATACTCCAACCATATCATTAGAGGGATTATATTTGCAGTATCTTTCTAAGAATGCTCATGTGTATACATTAGGTTAAACAATACGTAATACTCACTTTGTCTATCAAAAACTGTTGATTAATGACATTTAATAAAATTCAGTTTAATAATACTATAACATCCCAGAACTGGGTCAGTAGTTTGAGTTACCAATAATTAGTTGCTATTACAACAGTCCAGATACATCACTTGCACATCATTCTCATTGGAGATATTAGCAATCCTACCCACCTGCACAAGGACTTTATTTCCCATCCTTAAAACCAGTATTCTCCCAAGGTGGATGGTAATGAGGCTACAACTATAAACTCTTAAATAGACGTACTCCAGGCAGGACCTAATCGATTTTAGAAAAATAAAGAGAAGAGTCATGATTTCATCACATTGATGCTTGACTATCAATTTTATTCCTTATTCTCAGACATCTCCAAGTTCTTCCAGTGACTTCACTGATGTTTTCTTTCACTTGGAATATCATTTCCTCACTCCCTTTACCTTGACATGGCCAAATCCTGTGTAGCAGTCAAAGCTCAGTTTACAGGCTTCTATCTGCAAACAGTCTTGCCTGATACCATATGAAGATATATAACATAAAATTAGGTTCTGAGGGGAAAAAAACAACAACTGTGTTGCTCATAGCTGCCACACCCAGAAGTTGGCCATTGCGAGTAGGTAATGATTTGTAACAAATACAGTTTTGGATAAAAGAAATACAGAGTTCTTTGCTTGACTGGCCGACCTTCCCTCTTTGTGACAAACTATAATCTAGAGGCTAAAGTACTACTGCTATTGCAATCTATTACTAGCTTTCCTGGAGTTTTTAGTCAATTTAATATTACAACACGACTCCTTAATATTCTAAAAGTAAAACGTAGCAAAACATTAAATGTTTTGTCTAAAAATATTTCAAAATTATTATGTGGAGCCTCTAGATATCACTGGAGACATGGTAGGATGCATCACTAAACCTGGAAATTATTTCTCTGCCCCAAGCTTTTCAGCCTCTTAGAGTTCATAGCCATCCAGTCAAGGCAGACATCAGCATTTGACTTAGTGGTTTGAATTCTGGGGTGCTATTTTCTCAACTTAGTGGCTAAAATTAAGATTCTACAGGGTGATAAATAAATATTTGAGGAAAATCCAATTTCTTTTTGTCTAGATTGTTCTTTAGTGAGTTGCTCAAAGGGTGAAATATATATGTAAATAATTACCAACATATTGAATTTTCTATATTCTCTTTAATGCGTGCTAAAATTACAACGTTTTCTTTTTTAAGTTTTTAGTGAGGAGAAGATGTCTACGGTTTCTACATGGTCAAGGAAAAAGTATGAATCAAAACAGTCCCTAGGAAACATATATAATGATTCCTCAATTTATCAATGTTGTGAATATCTCACTGAATCAGTACTTTATCATTTAACTTCAAGCATTTCTAATGGCACCAGGAAGGGTAGAGAAAAAGAGAAAGTATGGGAAATTCAAGAAGCAGCATTTATCAAGATTATTTCAATTCATTCTCAAATGTTTGCAAGCAAGTCAATTTCCATTGGAGAACTTGCTTTATGTATTTCTGAAATCATTATTAAAATCCTTTTCAATAATAAAATTATACAGGCTGACATTGCACAGAAAATGGTTTCCATACCAACAAAATACATTTACAGTCCAGGAATAGTTTCTGGTGGCTTTGATGACCTCTTTCAGGATCTCTTATTAGGAGTGATTCATGTACTGTCCAAAGAAATAGAAATAGATTATCACCTTGAAAACAATGGAAGAAACAAATCACTTTCTATGCATAGAAATAATAGTGTATCCATTTGCAACAAAATCAACAGACAGGCAGGCCCCAGAGACTGGCAGTTATCGATGAAACAAATTGATCAACTTTTTCAAAAAAATAAATTAAATTACCTTGCATGTAAGCTAAACAGCCTGGTTAGTAACCTAAAAACAAGTGAATCCAAAGAAGTTGTCAATAAAGTTTTTAATATTGTTTCTGATTTATTTTCACCAGATGAATGCCCAGATAGGGGTACGGATTCTGATAAAATACAAAGAACATTTGTCTCCTCCTCAAATAATGAACAACCTAATAGCATATTTAGAAATAACTCACAGCTCTCCTCAAAATCAGTTTTTCTTCTCAGTGTTGTATGTGAGAAACTTATCAGAATTCTTTTGGAAGAATGCACAAGCAATGTCTTTCTTGATAATGGATCTGTTTCAGAGGAAACATCAGCAGAAGAATGTCGATTTTTAAACATGCTTCAAAGTGTAGAAGATGGAAAATCTGATTATTGTAAGAGAGGAATGAACTGTGAATTCCTTCAAGGAGATTACATGTCAGACCTTTTGGAAAATGTGGCAGAAATTGATCAAGACTTATTGTCATCAGACTCTATGCTTACTATTATTTCCCACAGTTTGGTTAAATCATTGATGAACAAATTATCTCACGGTATACAACAAGCTCCTGAAAGTCTACCTTTTGAAAATGAGCATTTGAACTACAGAACAAGAGAAATACAGTCAAGTCTCACAAAAGCAAGAAAGCCAGAATTAACAGAATTAAGACAAAGTAAATGCTCTTTAGGACTCAGGAGTTATGACAGTAATTCTTTGACAGTATCCCTGAATAATCCCAATGTGGTTAGCTCCAAAATGCAAGCACCATTTGGCAAGCATTGTGCAGTGAAATCCTCTTCTGTGTCATCACTTGAAAGCCAGAGAACAAAAGAAATGGATAAGGTAGCCATTCCTAATAAGCTACATCAGGAAGGTATATATGCTGGTGTTTATTCAGCCACATTTTTGGAAGGAATAATTTCAGAATTGTTTTTTAATCTCTCTACCTCGTTGTGGGGTAAAAATAAAAACATCGCTGTGTCCTGGCTCAATGAGATGAATACATTATTTGTCAACAACGTAGTGAATGAATTTAATAAAGCTCAAGTCACTGTTCTACGGAATGCTGAAGAAAGACTGTGTTTTCCACCAGTTCATACAGAAACTGTTAGCAAAATTGTCACCTCAGTTTATTATGATGTTTTACAGCAGTATGAATTAAAAGTAGCCGGCGGTAATGATCTGATACATGACAATGCCTCAATAGCAGAACAAATAACAAATGGCATATTGTTGGAGGTTTTAGACTACAAACTGCCATCTTTCCTCAGGGAATATCTCATACCCCATTCATGTTACCCTCTAAAACCTGAAATTATATTGCAAAAGCTTCAAAATAACCTGAGAGAATTTACTTCCCTACCCAGGTCTTCATCAGACTATAGTACCATGTTATCACATTCATTTTTAGAAGATGTCATCAGAAGGCTTTTATCTCAGCTCATTCCTCTGCCCATTACATGTTCCTCTTTAGGAAAAAAATATTTAATGAGTTCAGATTTTAATGAAATGTCCACTTGTATAGTAAATAAGGTTATGTCAGCCATTTCCAAACATAAAATCTGGTTGACTGTATATGATAATAAATATCTATATACTGGAAAAAACCTACAGAAGATGGTGGATTCTATTTATGGTAATATTTTGCAAATGTCTGACTCTGTTGTTTCTATACAAAAAAGTATAATAAGCCGAAGCCCAATTATGGTTGACCAAATAGCCAGTTTTATCATCCAAGAGATTATTGAAAATCATCTTCAACCATTTTTGAGTGGAGAGGTTTTATGTCATTCAAAGAATCCACTGGATCCAGTATCCACCATGGTTAAACAGGTTCTGAGTGAAGTGATAGAGTTACACAGACCTCAGAAGCAATCACCTTTAGGTATTCCCCCTGATTCATTTGTAAGGGAGATTGTTGCCAGACTTTTGTCAAAGATTTTCACCCCAAAGCATAACACCGAAATTGAGTTGAAAAACATGACTCAAAGAATAGTAAACTCTGTAAACAGCCATTTTGATAAAACTGAAATTCACACTCTCTGTGATGACAAAGAACAGTCTTTCTCCTCTTTCGATACAGATATTGTGGATGAACTTGTCACCTCAGTTTATAGAAATGCTTTAAAGCAGCATGGGCTAGACCTTGCTATTGATAAAGAGTCTGAAGATAGTGGCATTTTTGTGGAAAATATTACCAACCTAATTGTAGCAGCTATTTCAGACTACCTTCTTCATCCACTGTTTTCTGGGAATTTGTCAGCTTCTACTGATTCTAATTCAGTGTCTGAGAATATTGTTCAGGACATCCTTAGTAATGTCAGTAAATCTACTGAGCCAAGCCAGAGTTTACCTCTATATAACACCTTGCTGCCATACACATTTTTAGAAGATGTTATCAGAGTACTATTATCTAAATTATTTTCTTCTGCATCTAGCCTGGCTCTAAACAGAGAAACCCAAAAAGATTTATCAAGATCGAATTTCAATGAAATTGCTTCAAACCTAATTAGTGATATTCGGATGAAAATTTCTCAACATAAAATTCAATTTTCAAAAGAGGAAGAAGAAACCAAATTTATTTATTCAGAAGATGATATTCAGCACCTTGTTGACTCAGTATTTGAAAGCATTGTGCAAACTTCTGGGTCTGAAGAATCAGCTGTGCAAAATATCACAAGCAGTAATGATGTTCTTATTGAAATAATAGCAGGCTTCATCATTAAACATATATGTCAAAAACATCTTCAGCCATTTGTGAATGGAAAATCATTACCTTCGTCAGACACATGTTTTGATGATGAGAGAAGGCAGTTATTTTATACCAGTGTTTATTCTTCAACATTCTTGGAAGATGTAATCTCTGGAGTTTTAAGAAAAATATTCCACCGGGTAGTAGGCATTGTACAAACAAAATCCGTAGGAGATTCAGATGATGAACTGTTTGAGAAAGCTGAAGAACTCATACATTTGATAACAGGGGAATTCGCAAAAGCCCAAGTTAGCATTATAGATAATACTGAGGAAAGATCGTGTTTACCTCCAGTGGAAGGGGCTGCAGTCAAAACAATTGTTGACACGGTGTACAGCAAAGTTTTGCAAGAATATGAAATGGAAGTATTTCCCAATAAAGATTTTCTAAATAACACAAAGACTTTGGCTACCAGAATAACTAATATCATCCTGGCTGAAATTTTTGATTTCCAAATTCATCCAGATCTTATAGCAAGTCTGCCTTTTAAGTCACATTCCAAACTCAGCACAAATGTTTTAAAAAAGAGAGTTCAAGATGATATAAGTAAATCAAGATTCCAAAGACAAGCTTCAACAATCTATACCACTATGTTATCACATAGTCATTTGGAAAAAATCGTCACTCAGCTTATATCTCAGATGAGTCCATTGGACACCAGTGCAGAACAGTCAGATACTACTAAATCAGACTTAAGTAATACAGTGATAAAACTGATAAGTGAAATTATGTCAATAATTTCAAAACATGAAATATGTATTATTAAATATGGGAATAAAAGACAGAGTGTGATTTCAGCAAAAGATATCCAGGCTATGGTTGATTCCATTTATGCTGATCTTTCTCATTCAAATATATACCAGTCCATTACAAAAGAAAAAAAGAGCATAAGTGACATACCTGTTTCAAAAATAGCAAGTTTTATAATAAAAGAAGTCTTTAATCGTCATATTCAATCATTTTTATCTGAAGATAAAACTCTCCTTTTGGCTGCAGTTGATCAAACTTATAAATCGAAAGCAATAGACCCTAAACAAAGAGAATTATCTTTTATTGTGAACTCATCTGTCTTTTTGGAGGAAGTAATTTCTGAACTTTTATGCAAAATTCTTTATGCATTTTCACATAATATGTTGGTTACTGAAAATCCAGATAGAGTGAAATATGAACTTACCAGCATTGTTACAACTTTGGTAAATTCAATTGTTCTGGAGTTCACCAAATCAGAGATTTCAGTTGCAGATAACTTTGATGAAAATTTACGTTTCTCAGAAAGATATAAAGAAATGGTACAAAAAATAGTCATCTCAGTATATGGAAAAATATTGGATCAATATAAATCTCTCATTCAAATATATAGGGTTATACAAAGTGACACAATCTGCTTTGGTAGGAAAATATATTATTTGCTATTGGAAGAAATTTATGACTATCAGGTGCAGTCATTAGTTTCAGGAGAATTAGCGTCATCTTCTTATTCTTACCCCCAAGCTGATAATATAATCAGAAATGTGCTTAACATAATCACAAAGGATAGCCATGCCTCACCATCATATATGACTGTGTTGCCTCATTCTCTTTTAGAGGACATGGTTTACAGGCTTCTAGTGCATAACTTCCCTTCAGCTCACACTGAAAATGAACTAAAAGAGGAAGAGGTTTCATCAGATGATGAACTTGTGGATGCAGCTTCAAAATTGACTGATGAAATTATAAAAGAAATTTCTGAACATGAGGTTCGACTTTCCATGGCAGAGGATAATGCAGAGAGTATGCGGTTAGAACCTACTGAAAATTTAGTCGACTCCATATGTAATAATATTTTGAAAACTTCTGAATTCCAAGCTGAAGTACAAAAAGATGCAGACAAAAAAGGACGCTCATTCCTCAGCAAAATAGCTGGTTTTATTATGAAGGAAATCATGTATCATCATTTACAGCCATTTTTACATGGTGAAGAATCATCTTTCAGTGACTTACCCAATTATGACCATGTCTCTGAACTTGCTAAATCTGGTAAAGAAAAGACACAGCCCTCTCTATATTCAGCTACATTTTTGGAAGACATAATCGTTAACCTGGTTCACAAATTTTGTTGTCTCCCCATTATTACTGAAGATTCTAGGAAAAATGAAATGGCAGAGCCAGATATTATGGGGTTGGCTCTAAAATTTTCAAATTCTCTGATAAGGGAATTTAAGAAAAGTGAAATAAAAGTTTTACCAAATGCTGAAAAAATGTTTTCTTTTCCACCAATTGATAAAGAGACAGTTGATAAAATATCCAATTTTGTATATGATCAGTTCATAGAAAAATGCACATCTAATGATACTCAGAAAGGTGATGAAAGTAACATTGCTATAGGGATGATTGCTGCTCTAGCCCAGAAGGCAATGTCTGCATTCAAGATTCAATCACTTTTTTCAGGAGACTGGTCTTCCACCTTCTTTTCATTTCTAAATCCAGATAATATCACCCAAAGGGTTCAACATCTACCACAAAACACCTCTACACAAATAAGCAGATGCTTAATAGAGAACCAACTCCCTTTACCAGATCAATCATATAAAGATACTTCTTCCACTTCAGACTGCAAAAGCACAGTGAGCACTTTGGAAATAAATAGAGATACAGTGAGTAGAACGAAAAGTTTTAAAACTAAGGACACATCGATGACAAAAGGTGACATCCAAAATCCAGTACTTAGCTCTACAAATGCAATTATGAAAAGCAGCATAATTAACCTGATATCAGAGTCAGCCACAGGTGTGACAAATAAGAAGAACATGGATGAAAATAAAGTGGGAATTTGTACTCAAAAACATAGTGAGAATGTATCAAAAATCACTTCTTCAACTACCAGTGTGAAAAGTAAAGATACTCAGGAGCCAAATTTGAGTGAAACATTTAAAAATAATGAAATCGAGAGGAAAAGACATTTAATTCCAAAATATAAAGAAGGGCAGGATGACAAGGTGCACACACATTTTCCATTAATAATTGATAATATAGAATATGAGAAGGAAGTACTTGGATCAGATTCTGAAATAGCCTATAAAAAGAAGATTGACAATGCAAAAGAAAGATCATTTAAAAAAGATGGCAAGCTCTTTCAGTTACCTTCTTCAAAATCCAGGAGAAATCTAGGGACTCCAACGGAGACTTTGGAAATAGGAACTCAAAGCAATGAGGGGAGAAGAGACTCTCCGACCCAAACAGACAGGGATGAGGAACACCACTCAGATTATGAACATGTTCAAAGTGTCATTGAAAATATTTATGAGGATGTTTTACAACGATCTTCTTCTCCAGAACCAGCATATTATTCAAAACTCAGTTATGACAAAAGCACCCCAGGTGATAATGCATTAAATGTAATTCAGGAGGTCAGCAGGGATTCGGCACAGTCTGTTACGACAAAAAACTTATCCTTCTCAACTAACAAAAATGTCCCTGCCAAAGAAAAAGAAGAGACAGAGAGAGAAAAAGAGGAAGTAAGAGAAGAGATTAAAAGTGAACCCAGTAAACCAGATGGCCCTCAGTACCAACCAAAAAATAAACCTGGAATTTTTCCCGCTAAATTTTTAGAAGATGTTATTACTGAGATGGTTAAAAAATTGATCTTTTCTTCTATACCAGAAACACAAATACAAGATAGAGGTCAAAATATCTGTGATGAGAAAAATCAAGCTAAACTCTATGACACTGCTATGAAACTCATCGATTCACTGTTAAAGGAGTTTTCAGATGCTCAAATTAAGGTTCTCAGACCAGACAAGGGGAATCAGTTTTTCCCACCTGTGGGAAAAGAGCCAACAACAGATGAAGCACCATCCAGCATTAAGATGAAATCTGCAGATAAAATGCCACCTGTCAATAAAATGACTAAAAAACTTTCAATTAAGATGCCATCAACTGACAAAACATTGGTCAATAAAGTTGTTCACTCTTCTGTTTGTAATATTTTAAAAGAATATGGATCTCAAGACTCTATTTGTAAGAATATAAACAGTAATGGAGAAAATTTAGCAAGAAGACTAACTAGTGCAGTGATAAATGAAATTTTTCAACATCAGCTTAACTTGATATTTTGTGATGAGGTTTCAGTTTCAGCATGTTTGCCTCTGGAATCTAAGGATGTTGTTAAAAAGGTCCAAAAGTTGGCCCAAACAGCCAGCAAAGAATGTCAAACTTCATCACCATATACAATAATATTACCTCATAAATTTTTAGAGAATGTGATTTCTGCTCTTTTATCTAAAATTTTCTCAACAATATCCAGCAAAGAAACAAGAAAACTTGAGGACAATTTGTTCACAGAACTGGATGTCTTTCAAATTAAGTTAGTAAGTGCAGTTGCAACAGAGATCTCCCAAAATAAACATATGATTATACAGTATGCAGAATCCTTACAATCTGATGATCATGAAATTACTCAGTTAGTGGTTCAGTCTGTTTATAACAATCTCTTGCCACAGTTTGGATCACAAGAGATCATACAAAATTGTGTCACCAGTGGATGCAAAATCCTTTCAGAAACCATAGTTGACTTGGTTTTACGAGAAGTGGCTGGCAATCAGTTGCAGAGCTATTTTTGTGGAGAGCTAACTCCACATCAGTGTGTGGAAGTTGAAAACATTGTTGAAAATATCCTTAAAGATGTTTTCCAAACTACTGATGTGCCCTTACCTAAACCATCACATGTTCATAAACTGTCTTATAACATAATAGAAGAAATTGCTGTGAAATTTTTATCAAAGCTTTTATCTGTATTTCCAAAAGTACATAAAGAAAGAACCAAATCCTTAGAAAAGGAAATGCTAAAAATAACTTCAAAAATATTAAATTCAGTCCAAGGATTTATCTTCAAAAGTAAGATTAAACTTGTAGCACCCACCAAGGAATCACCTACTGTACCTGAAGCTGATAATGCAACTATTGAAAACATAGTTAATTCTGTTTTTACCACTGTTTTAAAGCACTTTGGTTCTTTTACTTCTATATTTAAAGATTTAATGGGTAAAGGTAGTGTCCTCTCAGATATAATAGGCTTTTTATTGGTGAATGTAATTTCCAATTCTGAATTTCAACCTCAAGTAGAGGAAGAAGTATCAAATTCAGAATTAGTTCTGGAAGCTGTCAAAATTATGGAAAAAGTGACCAAAATTATTGATGAACTTAAGTCTCAGGAAAAGTATTCATCCAGAAAAGGTTTGACATTAGATGTCAAACTTTTAGAAGAGGTGTTGGCCTTGTTCTTGGCTAAACTAGTAAGGTTGCCAAGTTCCTCAAGCAAAGATGAAAAAAACTTATCAAAGCCTGAGTTAAATAAAATTGCATCTCAACTGACAAAATCTGTAACAGCTGAAATTTCCAGAAGTAGCATTACTCTAATAGCTTCTGATCCTGAAAAACGCTGTTTAAATCCAGAAAATACAGAAAGGGTTTATCAGGTTGTTAATTCTGTTTATAATAAAATACTACAACAATCAGGAACCAACAAAGAACTTTATTATGACATAAAAGATACAAACACAGTCTATCCTAAAAAAGTGGCTAGTTTAATTATTGATGGAGTTTCAAGTTTTCCATTAGATACAATTGGCTCAACAATTTCAAATGCTGATCTCTCTGGAGAGCTAGACATTAACAGAATTGTTCAAAAGGCACAAGAACATGCTATTAATATGATTCCTGAATCGGAGGAAGAACAATTAGATCAAGTTTCATCTGAAGAGGAATATCCTATTAAAATAGTTCCACACATTGGGAAAAAACCAGTCAAAATAGATCCAAAAATTATTTCTGAACACTTAGCAGTTATTTCTATAAAAACTGAACCTCTTGAGAAACTTAAGCAGGAGTGTTTGAAAAGAACAGGATGTAGCATCGCAGAACTGAGAAGAGCATCAATAAGTGGGAGAAATTATTACTCAGAATCACCTAATTTAGAAAATAAAAAGAGAGAAAGACGTACCTCACTGGATAAGACTGGAAAACTGGATGTAAAACCCTTAGAGGTAAGTGCAAAAGTAATGGCAGGAAAATGAGTGGATAGTGAGACATGGTTTTTCTGTGATTTCCTTCCTCAAATAAGTATATGGAAATGCATTCATTGTTGTTGCTATTGCTCAGCCCAATAGGAGAACTGGTTGCATCGGTTCTTCCATACATTCATATTATTTACTAGGATTTGCCATGTTATTTCTGTGGCTCACTCTAAAAGTCTCAGGCTGGTTTTCCTAAGACAATCGTTTTGAACCTTTTTTTTTTTTTAAGAATGTGATTATAAGCATATACCCTTCACAGTAAAACCAGATTGACAGGAGTCATAATTGACATTTGAATATTTAGAAGCAGCAATCTTGTGTAGTTCCTTAGTTCGTTATGGATATCTAAAGGTGTTCAAACAGGCCAGTTAAAAGAATATCAGGGTACATAGAACAATCTAAAATAGTTTTAATTTTCAAATTTAAGGCTCTAGACTAGTACTCATTTTCTTTTTTTCTCCCATTTATTTTATTGCTTTTTAGGTTTTGGGGTACATGTGAAGAACATGCAAGATTGTTGCATAGGTACACACGTGGCAGTGTGATTTGCTGCCTTCCTCCACATCACCTACATCTGGCCTCTCTCCCCTTGCTATCTCTCCTCAGCTCTCCACCCCCCACCGTCCCTCCCCTATTTCCCCCCAACTGACCGAGGTGTGTAGTGCTCCCCTCTCTGTGTCCATGTGTTCTCATTGTTCAACACCCGCCTGTGAGTGAGAACATGCAGTGTTTGATCTTCTGCTCTTCTGCCAGTTTGCTGAGAATGATGGTTTCCAGGTTCATCCATGTCCCTGCAAAGGACACAAACTCATCATTTTTGATGGCTGCATAATATTCCATGGTGTATATATGCCACATTTTCCCTGTCCAGTCTATCATCGATAAGCATTTGGGTTGGTTCCAGGTCTTTGCTATTGTAAACAGTGCTGCAATGAACATTCGTGTGCACGTGTCTTTATAGTAGAATGATTTATAATCCT